GGTGTGAAGAAATGAGAGGGGGAGGGGGGGTATTTATACCCATCAGACCGCACCCCCTAGGGGCGGTCTGGTAATTTTGGCCTAAGCAAAACCGCTGCCTCCCGATGCGGTTTACGTTTCCCTAGGGCTGACCGCATCTCGGGCGTGCGATCTGCAGTCCTTGGCGCGGATCGCTCCCCTGGCAAGCGTTCAGCCGCCCGATCGCCCCTCCATCCAACGGTTTTGCAGACCGTTCCGCAGCTGACGCGGATCGCATCGCTGGCGTGCGTTTCCTCATAGAGAACGCACCTCCATGATGCGTTTTATAGGTAAAACGCATCCTTCAGGTGCGGTTTACTTATAAAACGCATCATGGAGGTGCGTTCAATAAAAAAAGGTGCTATTTCTGTCAATTTTTTCATATGTGTGCTAGTTTTGTAATTTTTTTTAGGGTGCTATTATTGGAAAAAACTCTACATTACCACGTGTTGATGATTTGATCGGTAGGTTAGGGAGTAAAATGACAGTAGTACACTTTAGCCAAACCCTTGTGGAACAGTAACCACTTTGTTACTTTAATAAGTATATATAGGGTTAATAGCATTTTATGCCCCTGTACTATTGCGTTTTAACAAACGTGCCCCTATACTATGATTTTGCACAAACGTGCCCCTATACTATTACAACGTAACAAAAATGCCCTTCTGTCAAAAAATCTGTTATCTCTCCGTTAACGGGTACCGGAAATTACCCAAACACCCTCAATTCATCGTGCCTCTCTACTGCCATCCCTAATACGAGTTCTCTTCCAATCACGGTCCAAAAATATCTTCGAGTCTTCTTCTCAAGAGAATCCGCCATCCAGCTGACGGTCGGAGCTCCCTTCCGGCGACCGTCGAGGACTCCTTCTCCCTCCGCCGGACCTTTTTCTTGGGCAATATTCTCCATCCGCTGGACCAGCTCCTCCCTCCACCGATCCAACTTCTTTCTCCGCAGGACCTACCGCTCCCTCCACCTGAACAAAGACCCAACTGCTTCCTCATCCCAAACGCTCCTCCGACGATCTGTCCTCAATTCCATAACCAACAATATTCGAGAAAACCAAAGATGTGCTTCTTTCTCACCCATTTTCGCTCTCTTCTGTACATTCCGAAATTTGTAGAACCCTAAATTATGTTTGTTTTGATTGTTGGGGGTTTTGTTCTAATATTGGGTTTCGCCTGGAAACAACCAATATTTCATTCCTCTTTTTGTCCTATTAGTATAAATTAGGGTTTAAAAATAGAATGGTAGCAGCCGTGCCTCAGAGGCTGTTGGCGAAGTTAATATCGACGGGCTGAGGTGTCGTTTTCGCCCATGCTTATGTTGCCGACAATGCCGCTCGAGGAAAAGACTGTGGACGCAGGAGAAGATGCTGGTTGTCGGAGAAGATGCTGCCTGCCGGCGACGGATGAGATGATGTACGAGTTGGTGGATGCCGACAGAGTTGGATCATGCCGGTGGTGAAAACGGCACCGGCCTAGTTGCTGTGGTCGAAGGCCGATGATCGCATGTTGAACGGTGAGAGGACAAAGCGGGGAGTCGCGTATTACGGGGCTCCTTTTTTGCCTTTTCTTAATTCGGCTATAATCCTTTCAAAATTAAAGTGAAATTTTAATATTAGTCACAGGGTTATTTTGGTAATTTCCTGTCTCAGTTAACGGAGAGAAAATGAATTTTTTCGACAGAAGGGCATTTTTGTTACGTTATAATAGTATAGGGGCACGTTTGTGCAAAATCATAGTACAGGGGCACGTTTGTTAAAACGCAATAGTACAGGGGCATAAAATGCTATTAACCCATAAGTATATCTAGAAACAACTGGTCTCATTATTAATTGCCCACAGCCCACCCTAGATAACGTATGGAGTTGAGCCTTACTTTTGTTCCTTCCTTTAAATTGATGGTCCCTTATTCTTTCATTTGATTTTGTTTTTATGTGAATACCTTTATAAGTTTGAAATTTAGTTGACCCAGTCGAGCAAGTGGATTGAGGGTTAATTGTTCCATAATGAGTCGTAATTCGCAAACCAAAGGGAAAAAAACGATGCCATGTAATCTATTATTTGTCTAATGTCATCAATTTGCATTATGCAAAGGTTCCACAAGGTTAGTTAACTTTGACATAACAGTATAATCATATGTTACTTCTAAAATTTTATTTTATAATTAGACCATATAATTAAAAGCACAAGAACTTTTTACTATTCATTAAGAAAAAAATAGACTATTTTCTCTTTTCGTGGTAATAACCAATTCTACGGTATAGTACAACCAGTTCTACAATAAGTGCTTTAATTTTCTCCTAATAACCATATTAAATTATTTCTTTAATATTTGCTAAACTTTTATTATTGTTAATTAAAATATTTAACATGTCATCAATTCACCATATGAAAAGGTTGTGCAAGGTTAGTTGACTTTGGCATAATAGTTTAACCATATGTTACTTTCTAAATTTGATTTTATTATTAGACCACACATTATGAAAAATTTATGTAACAACATTCTATAAAAATTGCATAAACAACGTTCTATAACAGTTACATAAATTATAAATTCATTTGTAAAATTATAGACATTACATAAACTAAAATTTATAGCGGGATAGCTGTTATGTAAGAAAGATATTAATGAGCATTCCTTAATGATTAAAACACTACATAAATATTATGAACATATAATCATTTTGCCTGTTTGTATAGAGTTTAGGGCGGTACCTATATCCGCCAACAGTGCTGCCTATAGAGTGGCGCGTAAAGCACTGCTTTTGTCTCGTTTAGAGTTAGAATCTTTTGATTTTTTGGGGTGGGTTCTTTAGAGTCTTTTAGGGGTCCTGGGTAGAATTGTAAGTTTAACTATTTTCCTCTATTGATATCACTCGGAAATAAAAATAAAAATAAAAAAAATAAAAAAAATATAATCATTTTGTATGCATCAATTAAAAAAATATTATATAAATCTTCCATAACGATTATACACTACATAATCCTTATGTGGGGATAATTATTCATTATGTATCACTTAAACAAATAGATAACGTATGTTATTCGTAATGTTTAATACACTACATGAAACTTATGTAGGCGTCTGATCTAAATAATTCTGTGAATTATTCATTTTCAACTAAATTATTAGTTTCTTAACGCGGCGGAGCGCGGGTCAAAAAACTAGTAGAATAATTAGCCTCCATAGCGCTACATTAGCCTCCCAAGATGACATACTATCATAGAAACTAGTAATTCAAAGCACACTGGGAACAAAGGCGGAGCCAAAATTCGACGTCGGGGGGTGGGACAGAATTTTTTATTCTACTACTTGAAAAGGCGATAAAAATTAAGAATAAATATTTTTAATATTATTATAACTAACATTGTAGACAATTAGAATTATTCAAAATAAGATTTATGCTACAACTTATTTTGTGTGGACAAACTCACAAAAGTGAATATGTATATTCATAAGTTTTATTTTTAGTCAAGGATGAAGACAAAATTTGACTTTTCAAGGAGGATTTATTTTGTTACTCATTAATAAAAAAGATCATAACATCAATTTTAAGCCATATAAAACTTAATTTTGACAATAAAAAAGTTAAGAAACTATATTGAAATTACATAATTGAGAAGATGAAAACTTAATGAGCAAATGCACCGACTAGGTATCAAACCTATGATTTGATCAATATAATAACAGGTTACCCAGCCAATAGGCTATTTAACTTTGATCTTTCATTCATGCACACTGAACCGTTTCATACAACTCCATCAGTTTATCAGAAATTTCCAAATATTGGTATAGCTAATACGTAACTTCTAAAATTCTCGGAGGGTCGGGGCCCCTATCCTATGTGTAGCTCCGCCCCTGACTGGGAAGGTTATTGCATATGACCCTTATCTAACAAAAAAAAGGGGTTATTGCATATGACAATGAACATGGAACGGAAGGTGAAGCCTTCAAATTTAAAAATATGTACAATTCATTTGTTATTAATGCTTCCTCACTTTCCTTGTATATTTTGTTAAAACGACATAACCAACATATATACATATTAAACAAGTTGTATTCCGATTGAACCATGCTATGCAATGATTGAAACCAGTTAGAAAACCTTAACAAGTAACAACCCTTGGTTATTTTTCACTTTCGGTTTTGTACACAACCGATTGAAAGAAAAAATGAACTGCTTGAAAGCTCGGCCGACTGTTACACTAGTCCGATGTCAAAACTAGGGTCGGAAGTTTGGTACTGATATTTGGGATATACCAATACCGTACTGAATTTATTACTATTTGGTATTAATGAATACCAACTTATTTTTTATGGATTGGGATTGAGATTCTTTTTGGAGTGCTATTTGGCATTCGGGATTACAGGATTGGGATCGGTGTATACCGAAATACCGAGAAATACTGAAATTTAAAAATTAATGAAATATAACACACAACCTTTTGTCATTCCTCACTCTTTCACAACTTAGAAACCCCCATCCAACTCAATTTTGATTTTCCAGTTTAAGTAGCTCTCGTTTCTCACCTAATCTCTTGTTATTTTCATAACACCAAAAAGCAAACACTAGTATTAGTCGTCTCTCAGCCTCCAATTCGTCAAATTAAAGATTACCAATGACAAATTTTTTAGATGTCACATCTTATCCATTCTCCTTATCCATATCCTAGCTCTAGGCAAACTCATGACTCTTTGCTTAGTCTCATTGCCCTAAATTAAACAATCAAATCTAATATATATTTAATTATTAATTGCAAATGTAATTAATTTCATATTCGATAATACCTATTGGATACCGAAGTACCGATTGATACCAAAATATTTAGAGATTGAGATACTAAAATTATTTAGGGATTAGGATTGTAAATTGTAATTGACTTTAGATATAATTCAGTATTCAGGATTTTGATATTGATGATCTCCACCACTAGTCAAAATTCAAAACCATAAACCTTTCTCACTACACTAGGAAAAAGACCGTAAACCTCAGCTCTCCTCTTCTTCCTAAACCCCTAAAAACAGCTTCTCGATTCCCTCTAGCCTGAGCTGCACCAAAAATGGTTTGTATTCTCAATATTTCTCCTCTTTTCCCTCTTTCTACCTTTCTTCGTCCTCTGCTCGTGTTAAACTGAAGCTTTATGTTGTGTGGGCGAGAGATGACAGAGAGCCTGCTTTTCCTTTGTCGTCAACTCGTACATTCGGTGATATTGTTTGATTTAAGCTCCATTTTGGGTTGTTTAGTTCTTCCCACTTGTGCAATTGCTGCAACGTTATCCGATTCCAAGTTTCCAACTTAACTGTGCCCATACTTCATTGGTACTTTGCCGGTGTTTCCTCTTGGCGCCTGAGGGTTACCTGTTTCACTCTTCTATTAATCTCTTACATTCTTTGAAGTTAACTTCTTAACATTAGCCTCTCTATCCTTGCGTAGGTGCTGGAGGGTTATTTGCGGCTGCGTTTAACTGTGATTCGGGGAATGAAGGTGCTTGCCTTCCCACTGAAGAGTTGTGCGAAAGAGGTTAGGGCTGATGCCGCATTTGGGTGTCAAATGATGAATTATGCTGGTTACTTCAGATGACCAAGCATAGTAATCCGGTCTTTGTATGTACCCTTTGGTGAAGCACAAGCATACGATCCTCAACACTTCACTTGCCTACTGTTGTCGTCTTATCGACCAGTGTTTCTCGTTGAAATCCTCGAAGAATGTCACAGTTCTTCATGCTCTGTTAGTTAAAGTTGGCTTCAATCGTTATACTTTTCTGGGTAATCGTTGTCTTGATCTCTATTGTCGATCCGGTTCATCTGCGGTTGATGTTCTGAAAGTGTTTGATGACATAGCTTTAAGAAATGTGGTATCTTGGAACATTTGTTTGAAGGGGTTATTGAATTTTGGGCATATAGAAATGGCGTGCAGCCTCTTTGATGAAATGCCTGAAAGAGACGTCGTTAGTTGGAACTCGATGATTGTGGGGCATGCTTCATGTGGCCATGTTGATCGGGCATTAGAAAGGTTTAGGCGGATGCAAATTTCGGGTGTGCAACCCAGTGAATACACTTACTCAATTTTGATGTCAGTGGTGTTTGCCACACTTGGTGGTAGAGAACTTCATGGGAGCTTGATTCGTCGTGGATTTAGCACTTCAAATGTGGTTCTTGGAAATTCCTTGATTGACATGTATGGGAAGCTTGGCCTATTAGACTATTCTGTAGGTGTGTTCTTAGGAATGAAAAATAAAGATATCATATCTTGGAACTCATTGATCATATGTTTTTGTAAATGTGGACACGGTGAATTAGCTCTACATTGGTTTTGGTTGATGAGATCCTTGGGGCATTCGGTTGATGCATTCACATTTTCTGCAATCATAAATTGCTGCTCTGATTTACGAAAATTAAATAAGGGTGAGCAGAGTTTAGCACTTTGCATGAAATTGGGATTTCTTTGTAATTCCCTTGTTTCAAGTGCATCTATTGACTTGTTTTCCAAATGCAACAGATTTGGGGATTCTGTTAAGCTTTTTCAAGAATTAGAGCACTGGGATTCTGCAGTCTGCAACTCTATGATTTCATGTTATGCACGGCACCATTTTGCAGAGGCTGCTCTTCTACTATTTGTGCTTACATTGAGGGAGGACATAAGGCCTACAGAATACACATTTTCCAGCCTGTTAAGTGTTATTCACAGTTTTCCAGTGGAGCAGGGAACTCAAATCCACTGCTTAGTCATCAGATTGGGTTTTGACTCTGATGCTATTGTTGCTAGCTCGCTGGTGGATATGTACTCTAAATTTGGGTTTGTTAACTGTGCTGTGGAAATATTTAGTCGCATGACTGCCAAAGATTTGACATGTTGGAATACGCTTATTTTGGGATTAACTCACAACAACATGGTATATGAAGCCTTGGACACTTTCAAAGAACTGCTCCAGAGTGGCCCACGTCCAGATAGAATCACTTTCTGTGCAGTTCTCTTAGCTTGCACTTATGGTGGATTTGTTGATGTTGGACTAACTCTATTTTCGTCGATGATTGATGATTATGGAATTCCACCAAGCAATGAACATTTTGCTTGCTTAGTCAATTTGTTGTTTAAAGCTGGTAGGTTCGACGAGGCAGTGGAACTCATAAAAGAGATTCCTTATGAACCAGATTGTTTAGTTTGGGAGTCATTACTTGATGCCTGTGCAATTGGAGACCTGAATCTCATAGAGGGAATGGTGGAGAGGTTGATGGAAGTTATGCCTGACCCTTCTATGGCCTATCAGCTGTTAACTAGAATATATGAAATGCAGGGAAAATGGGAATCGTTGGTCCGGCTCAAAAATACGATGAGAAGTTTGGTGAAGCCGGTGGTGGGATTTAGCTGGATTGGTATGAAAAACCAGATTTATGTTTTTGATGCTAAGCAGTTAGGACAACCTGGCGGTAAAGATGTTTATTGTACTATGAGGTTACTGACTTGGGAGATGGAGGATGAAGCTGTCACGTCAAGGAGCACTATGATTGATTCTATATGACCTTGTGAAACTGGCTTTCAGTCATGAGCATTGAAGTGCTGTATTGTTTGTTCATTTTCAGCTAGTTGCACCCCTGTCACCATGTTAGAATCCACGTCCTATGCACAGGTTAGTGCACTGTTCAAATCAAGTGGTAATTTCTGATCTGTTTATGTTTTGGTGGTATATGCTGGCAATCAACATTCTGAAGAATCAGAATGGAGTTTTGCTGGCATGTGCTGCCGATTTGTGAAATCCTTATTGTTATTCATCTTAACTATTTTCGGCATATAACTCAGGCTTGGCGAGTCTGCAAAATCAGTTAACTGTATCTCAACTTTGATAGTCCTTCATAAAAAATACACGCTTTCAAAACTAACTGCTTCTGGTATACATTGTTATGAGTGGTTGAGTGTGACTAATTGGGAGTGGATGATCTTTATCATATTAGACTTGTGTTCTTCAAGATCGTATTTTGTTATGATGAGGTAAGCGTTTGACCAGAAATTATATAACTGACTCTCTAAGGAATGACCACTAACTTAACTCAATTCTGTTTGGGAAATGATGTAATCATCTGTGTCCTTTTTTTTCAGTCTTCAAGATACCCTCGTTGGTCATTTTACGGCCTTCTATTTCTCAATCTTTTCCGTCCATAAGATGTTTACCATATTTAATCCAATATATTTCTCAATCTTTTCCGTCCGTAAGATGTTTCCCATATTTACTCCTTTATGTTCTCTGAAATTTCTACGATCTTTCAAGGTGACAAATGCATAAGCTGAATAATCTTTTAGATTTTCTAATATTTATTGATATTATTCGACAGAAGAAATGGAAGGGGCTGGTTCATTCTGGGATTCATTTTTCATCCCTTGAGACATAGGAATGCGAATAAAGATTAACAATAATTTTGGAACCGATAAGAGAAAACAATGCTGTTACACTATTTCCAGCTAATTTCTTTCACTTATAGAGCTTCATTAGTGTATAACTCATATTTATGTACTTGGTAGTATAGTTTGGCTCTAATAAGTTGTTGCCTACCTGAACAGGAAATCTTTGATGGGATTTCAGGGTTCAGTAACTGATTACTTCCAAAAGTCTTACTTCAAGATAATTTAGTCTCTGAAATTGAGAGAGATCATATCATCCAAAGTCTCAGATAATATATTACCAACCAGAAAATCATTTTATTCGAGGTCCAGACATGTTTCAGGTCAGGAAGATTCTCACGTTGGTCTATCTTTTGCTCTTTTTCACACTTGCCTATAACTTTTTTAATTCATGCCTGGCCTTCATCTACCTAATGAGTAGTGTGGTCAACTTGCGTGTTGCAGCAAAGGTGCACAAAGAAGAAATTGGACAAGGTTTTCAGAGTTTAATCATGAGATGCAAATCTTGAGATTGTTCCCTCAAGAACATTGTCGGGCTTTAGCTGAAAGTAGAAGAGGCTGAACATTTGTTATGTTCAGTATACTTGCAACAAGTCATTCCATTGGCATATGCTTGGTAAGCAATTGTGTCATTTTGCTACTGTATGCCACTCTGCTTGTGGGCAGTGTCAACATATATATGCCTCTTAATTGCTACCATAAAATTGGATTCTCTTGAGAAACTATATTTTTCTTTTCTCCTGGTCAAGCAGCAAATAATTTTCAATGGAACCAAGACATGCCATTGCTGTTGGAATTGGAAGAGGTCTGTGTTTCTGCATGCCAAGGCAGCCAGATAATATTTCAAGACATGTGCCCGACCATTGTATGTACTGCTTTAAATTACTTTTCTATGTACTTCCTATTCAGTTTCCATTGATACTAGTGATTTTTGGAAAAGCATGGCTGAGGTTGCTGCTTCTCAATCCCTAAGCCTTGTCTTTTTGGATGCATGAAAATTAGATTTTAGCATTTCGTCACTGGTTTAATGAGCAAATGCACGTCCAAAATTGTCATAAACCAGTTGCTTTCAACTCATGGGCTTGAAATTTGCACAGCCACATCATACCTTGTGCTTTAATCAACTGTTAATATTGGGGTTTGTGGAGATTCTAACACATGGCCACTTGGTCAAACCATCTCTGATACCATGTCATAAACCAGTTGGTCCCAACTCAAGTTGTTGGGAGAAGGTTGTTATGGATCTTATACCATTCTCTTACAAGGATAACATGTGAGGAAGTTTTCATCATTGGGCTCCAGATGGGAAAGACTCTTTCAGAGTTGGACCTAAATTATGGTCTCCATTTGATCTGGCAGATACTTGATCATGGTTTGTGTTCTTCTAGTTGGGGAAAATGCATTGGGATGCTGTGATTTCTCATGGTTTGACCAGTGATTAAGATGATTTGCCCCCTATCCCAAGTTGAACTCCACATGACTGCTATTCGCTAACAATCTTCATTTTAGTTTGACGGATGGTAACTCAGATTGTGATGAATGTATGCAGATTGTAATAAATATGCTGCAAGTCTGATGTCCTCGGCTCCGCTCCCAGACCCAGAGTGGCCTTTTGTGATGAGATCAAGATATTTATCTTTGCCTCTGAAATGCTTGCTGCCAGGTTGGAATGGTACTCAAGTTGCACTTATTTCGTAGGTCTCTAACTTTTAAGCTCGTTAGTGATTATAACCAGTCTCTAACTGAAGAATCCATCTGTTTAATAGGGCATCTGAAGGAAAACACTCCCCGGTAATGATGTAGGTGATGACAAACTTCAATATAAATGTCCCCAGACTATTCGTCGCCTCAGTTGGCATCATGTGACTATGATGATCTCGCACACCATCCATGAACATGTACGTGGTTGATGATATCCTACATTCATTAGTCATCACTGATAGTTGCGGAAGCAAAATCCTTAAAGTTTTGGATTTTACCCCGGAATATACTAGTAATTAAAAAGAATTCTCAAAATATAGTAGTTTTTATAAAAATTTCGAAAATACATATGTTCGTTCTCTATAGATTGTTGTCGACAAAAGCGATCTAGCTGTAAATCACGTTACCCAGAGACGATTTGGTAGGGATTGCTTTCATAAAAGGCGATCAAATCGGACTGTTGACTTGTCCAACGATTGATCATCAAATCGTTGAAGAAACATGTGATCCACACGGATCGCTAATGTGGAAGGTGATTTCCAAGAAGGGAGACGCAAATTGCTAAGGTGGGAAGCGATCAACCGTTGATTGCTTTCGATGGCCACAATCAACGCGCTATCTCTCCTTTGCTCCACCTAGATCGCGTTTAACAGAAGCGATCTTGGCTCCCCCCCCCCCCCCCCTCTCTCTTTCAGCTATAAATACGAACCCCCTCTCCCATACCACTCGAGAAATATGGCTATGCTCTGAGGTAGTGGATAAGTCTGATCTTCCACAACAGATCATGTTTCATTGAGTCCATAAAAAGCCTTGTGCCATTAAGGTTTGATATATTTTATATTTTTGTAATTTATCATTGTGAATCATGGAAGAATGCTATAAGATCAATGTCTTAGTAGAATATCCATGATTAAACGTTATTTTGTATTTTCACTATTTGTTTACAAATCTATTAATGTTATTTTCTTGTATTTAATGATAGATAGGGGCCAATATTTACGTCCTAGATTGTATATCCAACCTGGCCTGAGGGATGCCCAATATTTAACCAAGCGAGAAAATCATCGATCCCATGCGATTTGGAACAACAACCCTGTAGGCACGCCCTACATTCAAAATCCTTATATTTTTAATTATTTTAAAATGTTGCTATAAAACTTACTTTGTGCATTGATAAATTGGAACATTAACCTTGAGATACCATTGTTAGTGTGATGTGTTTTTGTGTTATTCATGATTTTCCTTACTAATATTATTTAGTCTTCATTATATTATATGGAATTTAAAATCTTACGATTTGACGATTTCGATTTTACCCCCATTTTTTATTTGACGTAAAATCCCAATTTGACTGCTATGCTCACAACCATGTCAGAGGTGGCGTCTCGAGATACACACGGAGAGGTCATCATCGACAACTCGGTTGTTCCCGAAGGAGGTTGGGGGCCACTGATCTTTGAGCATTTGGGTTTTGACATGCTCACGACAGTGGAGGGAGGCGGTAAATCGCCGTTGAATGTGGGTCAAGTATCAATCTCGTGGCCCATTGCTCGTAAAAAGACGGATGTTGTGTTAAGGAAGTGTTGAAGGGTTCTTGGCAGATTAATGAATGATTTATGCAGTTCTCTATTTTATATTTTTTATAAGAGTGTAGAGTAGTATAGCTTGTATCATGCAGTGGAGTTACATTTGATGGTTTGTGATTTGTGTCTTTATTTGGTAGTGATGTTGTCATTATAGTACAATCTTTTTATGGAATGAATCAATCAAATACATAAAAACATATGCAGTTACCAAACATCAAATATTTTATATTTCTTTCAACATTTCGAAACAGAAATCCTTGAATTATTTAGAATTATAGGCTGAAACTCCAATTATAAATTTAAAGTCTATCATCAACCATCCAAAGTAAGGTGCCTTCGACGGTATCCTGGATGGAATTACACCTCTAAGAAATGTTTTTCGTGTAGAATTATTCAAATAACTAAATAGTGTTCTAGTTCTATCTTAACATATTTAATGTAAGTACATATAATTATTATCATAATTATATACATCTTACAATTTTATCGGATGTCCCCGAAGGGGCATATACATCTTACAATTTAATGTGTGTTTATGCTATAAGTGATTTAGAGAAAAACATAGTTGTTTTATATGATTAGAAGGTGTGGTTGATTCTACTCAGTCTCTGTCTGAAGCTCAAATAAGCTTTCAGATGGTCTGAATATAGTGGAGGAGTAAGGTTGGAGGCAGGAGGGGCTATATCCCCCTTCCCCTGCCCTTAATACTGAAATATAAGTAAAATTAGATATATAATTCGCAACAAATTTGGTAATAGAATAGTCGGTAAGACTTTAACCCCCTCCTCCAATTATAACGGTTCAAGTCAACCCCCTCATTCAGATTCCTGTCTCCGAACATCTAATGGTAACTATTAAATTGTTTATGATCTATAACCATTTCGCATTGTTCAACTTACCAAATATTGCTTTATATTTTACATTTTCATAAATTAATCCACACAAATAAGGTGAAGAGAATCGATCAATCATTGACAAGACCAACAAGAAGGAAATATGCTCTTTACATAAGAAAAAAATATATGTGGAAATTATCAACATTCCTAATGACAATCCATTTATTTCATGTTTGTTTTCAATCTATATATTATAGGGCTTCAAAATGAGATGCATAACTTGCATATTAAGGGAGATGGATTGTTCAGGTCATGCGTTCTAGAGACTTTACAGGTTTCTAGATCTTTGAATTTTTTTAGTTTTCTTATTTAATGTTTATGAAATTATTTCTCATATCTTAGTTATTAATTTATTGTAGCGGTTAAAGTGTTGATATTGGACATCCATCATATAAATGTAAATATTGTGCACTACCAGTGATGTGAAAGGATAAAAGTAGGAAACCCACAAGAAATTCAAATTACATCAAGTTCCATTCTGTTGCAGATCAAGCAAAGTGAATCTCCTTCATCGAAAGCATCATAGGAGGTTTAAAATATCATATTGCGAGCAAATACTTCAATGAGGGGTCACTTTTTGGAACACATACATGGCGATAATGGGCTATTCTCATTAACTTCTATTGGAGGAAAACTTGACCTATTTATAAATTATGTACGTGGATTATATGTTTACCCTATTGAAGGTCAAGTATAAAATCAATTGATAGCCGGATACCTACTGAAAGGAACATTACCAAAGCTTTTTCAAGTCTACATCAATGACGCTGACAATGAAGTCTAAAAACTATAACATCTTTCTCTAGAGATTCATTTTGGAATCCTTTGCACAATACGATTATTTAGCAATTGCTCGTATAATACCATGATTGTTAATGTGTACACTTTGGTTGGGCTTGAGTATTAAGATTGGATTAAAAGCAAGCAAACAAAGCACCGACAACATTTCTACAAAGGTCTTTTGAATTCTTACTTCAAAGGTGATTCGAACCAGGCTGAGTGGAATGTAGTTCTCAAAACAAGTATGAAAGCATTTTGACTTCATCACGTTCAATGTAGTTCTCGAAACAAGTATGAAAGCATTGAGGTATGATCCTTTGTGTATGGGCAGTATATCTTGATCTTTCTATTACATTTTTCATGTAAACGTGAGTGGCCCGATATTCAATACATGGTTGATTGGATAAGGACTACTTTTAGAAAAGATCCTAACGGAGTTGATAAGGACTACTTTTAAGCTGAAGCTAAATCAATTGTTGAATGAGAATTGTTTTGAGAAGACATGCCCATGCAAGTTATATTCTATAGGTTTACTTTAATCATTCTTTAGTCATGAGTTGCTTGGTAATTATTTTTCATTTAGATGGCTATTAATAATTTCTTTCCCTTCAAAAGTGTTTGCAAATGAATTAAACAAAGTGATCTACTTCATACTCATTTATTAGTATTTCTATATATGGAAGATAAATTCTATAGTCCTTCAAAAATGGATTTAATTATATTTGATCAAACTTTAGATCTAAGTAGATCTTGAATTTTATGAAACAATTACAAATTTTATGCTTCATGGTCTATATAGCATTGGAAGACATAAAGCTCCATGTGCATCTAATAGGGTATGTTTCAAATGTGTTTATAGGGAGATCCGCGAGCCAACAACTACTTAAGCCAATAATTTTTCAAGGTATCAGCGTCGAGAAAACAACTGATCAATCATGGTGAGAATGGTCTCACTTGATAACCGGGTCATTGTTCCTTATAACATGTACATATTGTTAAGATGCTCATATAATACCGTTGATATATGGAAAAAGAAAGCAAATTGCAGAAAATATTCATAAAGTGTATGAGGTAAACTCTCCTTTAGCGAAAATGGTGCTTTATATTTTATAATATTTTACAATTATTATTTTTTAATTTGATCAAATGCAAGAGAAGAAAGAAGAGGTCATTGTAATACAATAGAATAAGGAAGAGACAACTAATAATTGATATGGAGGTGCCAGTGTAACTAATGTAGGTGAATGCGTTGTTATTGATGGAGATTATGATTTGCTCATGGCAGAGGAAACCAAATAAAGCAAGATAAAATGCAGTAAATTCTAACAAATTGGAGTAAATAGAAGTGTCATTTGAACAAATTGACGCCTTGGTTCGAAGTCTGCCTTTTATGTTAAGGATTTTAGCTAATGAACTGGTTAGGATGTTAGAAAATACAATAATGTTAACCTTTTGAATGTTACCAATTCCTTGATAATTTGGATTCTCTTATGCTACCAAATACAAATTTATTTCATTTGAATTTTGCTACTCATTATTTTGCAATATGCAAAATGAATTCAACTAACTAGCTAGGTCCGTATTGCATCGAACAAATTGCTATTGTTGTTTATACCATTTATGAAATGCATCTGACTAAGGGGTCGGATCCCAATATAGTGATTCTCATGAAGAGAATAAACAATAGAAAGAAAGGAAAGAAAGAGTCCAACGTTGAAGATGGCTATTGGGCGCGGCCTCGATTTTCAACAAACGGAACTTTCTGCCTCATAAAGTGTCAATACATCGAAGAAAAATGAATGATTAAAACTAAAATAGAATTTTGTGTTTCTTATTAGTAAAAACTAAAAATTAAGCTAGTCTAGTGACAACTGTTAAAAGACTAATTAGGCTCTGTAGTATATTATTCATCACTAACCTTTTTCTCCTTGCTTATTAAGAAGTGAAAACGAATTATTATGCCAAATATTAAACCTGACGCGCCTCTCAGGGCTAGCTTTCTTATATTTTCAATTGCAAGGGAGATGTAGGGAAAGATGCTCCAATTAATTATGTATTTGGACTGGTTTTGTTGAAATTCTGTGTTTTTTTATTTATTTATCCCAATTTCCTATATTTGGCTCTTGGTACACTGGAAGTAATCAAATTCATACATCCTTGATGTTCACACTATTTGATAATTTTCAACTAATCAAACAATTTGGTTTTTGATACATTGGACGTAATTCAAAGTAGAGTAATAAACTGTTAAAAAAAAAGAGACATTTTATTACAGAGATGGAATGCCCAATGCGAAAGGGACACCTGGAGCCCTTCTCACTCCTCCGTACGTTTCTACCTTTCTTGTGTTTTGGTCCTCGATCATAAACTTCCAAGTCACAACTTACAACACAAACTCTGACACACAATTACAGTACAGTCCCTTTTGGCTTTCTCTTCTCTTCTCTTCTCTTCTCTCTATAACCTTCTCCTTTCTTCTTCCTTCCCTCGCTTTCTTTCACCAGGGGCTCATCACCTCTTCAGAGTTCAGCCTCCGCACCGCACGCAATCAACAACACAGGTTCCTCCTTTTTTTCATCTCCCTTCCAACCTTCCTCCTCCTCTCACTGATCTAATCACCATGCGCCGCTTCCAATGCTTCACCACTTCGACTTCTTTCTTCCTGTCTTGATCATTCTCACAAAAAGTTTCTGCTTTCGATGATGGGTGGTTTCATTCTTCGTTTACCCTCTTTTGCTGAAATGGGTTGTGCTCTATTTGGTCGACTTCCTTCACGATTGGGAAATATGCCCATCTCTGTTTTCCCTTACATGTATATTTTTTGTCCTCTGCCGTTTAAGTCTCTTTTGTTTGTGCTTGTGTGATCAACAAGAGAAATCTCATCTTTGATTGTGACTCGGATTGTCTAGTGTGTTGTCTATTCTTAGTGAGTTTCTTCTGAAATTGTCTCTGTCTATCTCTGCTACTGACAGAAACGAGGATTGCTTCTGTTCTACTGTTTGGGGTCTGTTTTAAGCTATGGTGAGAAGTGAAGAATTGAACCAGTGTTTCGAGAAGCTGATGATGACAGGAGGTGGAACCGACAGTGCAATCAACATCAGTAAGAAGATGGGAAGAGCGGCCATCACTGAGTGGAAGGATATTCCAATGGAGCTTCTCTTGAGGATTGTGTCTCTTGTTGATGATCATCGCACCATCATAATGGCCTCCCAAGTTTGTATTGGCTGGAGGGAAGCTATTTCCTTGGGCCTTACTCATTTATGCCTCTCTTGGTAAATGAATTCCTCTCCTGCCTTTTGATTGCTTGATTGAAAAAATTCTCTCCAATTCGTATTGGTAAGTTACTTAGGTTGACATTTTTTTATATTTCAATTGCAGGTGCAAGAACAATATGAGCAACCTGGTTATATCTCTTGCGCCCAAGTTGCAGAATCTGCAGAGTTTGGTGCTACGCCAAGATAAGCCGCAACTGGAAGACATCGCGGTAGAGACAATCGCTAGACACTGCCATGACTTGCAAGACTTGGACCTTAGCAAGAGCTTTAAGCTAACTGATCGCTCTCTGTATGCCCTGGCTCATGGTTGCCCCAACCTGGTCAAACTCAATATCAGTGGTTGTACATCGTTTAGCGATCATGGTATTGAGTATCTCACTGGATTCTGCCGTAAGCTGAAGATTCTGAATCTTTGTGGCTGTGTTGGAGCAGCAACTGACCTTGCCTTGCAGGTTTTTTAAACAGATATTCCTTGTTTCTGTACTCATTTGTATCATGAGCTTCTTCTTTGAGAATACTAATGGAACCCCTTGCAGGCTATTGGACGCAATTGTAATCAACTGCAATCGTTGAATCTCGGGTGGTGCGAGAACGTGGGGGACGTTGGGGTGATGAGTTTAGCATATGGATGTCCTGATCTTCGAACGCTGGACTTGTGCGGCTGTGTGTGTATAACAGGTATAATACATCAGATACCAGTAATGCTTCCTTGTTTTCTTATCATTCATTTTGGACTCCAATTACCTCAATAGAAGAAGCTTAATGTGACTTTCATTTCCTGTTGCATCTGTTGAGTTCTTCTACTGACTAGACCTCCTTACTTTATTCTAGACGACAGTGTGATTGCACTGGCGAACAGGTGTCCGCACCTCACATCCCTTGGCCTGTACTACTGCAAAAACATCACCGATCGAGCAATGTACTCTCTGGTTCATAGCCAGGGGAAGAAGAAGAAGCCGCCCACATCTATGTGGGAGAGCATAAAAGCCAGGAAAGGGGAAGAAGGGTTGAAGAGCCTGAACATCAGTCAATGCACGGCGCTGACACCTTCTGCTGTTCAAGCACTGTGTGACTGCTTCCCTGCGCTTCATACTTGCTCCGGAAGGCATTCTCTCGTCATGAGTGGTTGTTTGAACTTAACTTCAGTGCATTGTGCTTGCGCTGTGCAGGCACACCGCAATCTGCCCTATATCCCTCATCACCATGCTCATTGAAGCTCAAAAAAGTTCAGGGAAGTGTGCTTTTGCAGCACACGGAGAGCCAAGCCTAGGTTTAAGTTTATGCATTGCTTGTGGTACAAGCTAAGTCTGTGTAGCTGCAGATAGACAAAGGTTTGTTGTTGTATAACACTGTGATGTTAAGAATGTGACGGGCTTTTGCTATCGACTATTCGACTCTGGTTTTTTAAAGAACCATGTATTTCTGAATGCCGATGCTTTACAGGGGTCATAAGTTCATGCTCTGTACTACATTCGCGAAACTCAGGAAGAAGCGTACACCCGCATCGACAGATGACAATTTGAAATGAGTGCTTGATTCGGTAGATTCGTAAATGGACGTTATTTATCTCAATTGTATCTGTCTGTGTGATGCATTTTTAAAAGTGTGATGTTGGACTCACTTTCTAGGGAGTGAATTTACAAAATTAACCAATGCGTGTGAAATTATATCTCTAACTTCCAATAAATACGCTTAAAATGCATCTTATAAAATGATCTACTTATTTGATGGCATACTACTGCAAAGATGTCAGTCGTGAAGCACACTCAACCAGAACACTTGGAATAGTATATATTTCAGCACCTGATCAGCCAGCTGGGTTGCTAATGGATAGAATGAACAAACAACTTGCAGTTTTGTATTTCTAAACTCTGGTTTCAATTACAGAAGTTGATGAAGTGTTGGATTAATTCCCTAAATACAGTAAAAATTAGAACTAATTCCCACAATACATAACTTTTATAAAAAATTTCCAAACTACCAAAGTTTGACATGGATCGAGTTTAACGAACTCGAACTAGTAGGAGTTCGATTGAGAGTAAATCGATCCACGTGCATCGAGGATGAAGCACTCGAACTACACGAACTGGATCGATGAGATGGGCAGCGCTCTACCATAGATCGATGTACCGAGAAGCGATCTAGGCAGTTCGATTGCTCAACAAGCAAAGTGGTGAAGACGCGGATCGAGTGTGGGAAAGTCGATGCAGGTAGATCGAGTTTATGGAAATCGATCTGCTTGATGCGGATCGATGATGTCAGGCGCGCACTACCGTCGATCGAGTACACTAAACTCGATCCACGCCGTTCGATTCCAAACCACGCGAAGCAGGGATGACGCGGATCGAGTGGGCAAAACTCGATGCAGTCGATCGAACAGGTTGTGGTCGATTTAGTTGACGCGGATCGATGACGTCAAAGGCGAACAACCGTTGATCGAGGACCCTAAACTCGATCTGGTTCGTTCTATGCGCCTATCCCCGATCTTCTTTTGACGCGGATCGAGTGCTCTTGAATCGATGCACTGGTTCGAGTTTTGTAAACTCGATCCACTCTCCCACTGCAGCTATAAATACCCCCTTCCATTCCACCAAATCCCACACCACTCCATTCTTCTTCCTCTATTCCTCCCACCACTCTTGAAGAAAAAAATATGCTCTGTGGTTGCGGCTAAGCCCAATCTTCCGCATCAGATTTTTTTTTCTTTAGTTTGGTACTTCTATCACTCAAAATTGCCGAGATGGATCCGAGTATTTACGATCCTAGATTATACATTCAAGGCGGACCGCGAGAAACCGATTTGTTGGATGAGCAACCTTACCATCGGTCTGAAAGTGTTTGGGCGGCAGATCCGGTAAGCACTTCCTCATTTACTTTTCTTTTTTTAAATGTGATAGTATTCTTCTAATTTTTTTTGTATAATAATTAATATTTTTTTTTCTACAGGAACAACTTGAAGTAATCACCCATCGGTCGCTATCCGAGCCCTTCATTGAAAGAGCGCGATTGCTGAGGGTGCGAAAGTTTGTGAGGATGGAGATGGACAACAACCTTCTTACGGCAATGGTGGAAAGATGGAGAAAAGAAACGCACACATTCCACCTTCTGGAGGGAGAGATGACGATTACGTTGAAGGACGTAGCCATGCTGACAGAGCTTCCAATCGATGGTGATGCAATAATAGAAAGTTCACAGAAACCATTGAATGGTTGGGGCCAATTTATAAGCGAGCGTTTAGGTATCAACATCCCCGAGGAAGCACAAGAAGGTCGTCGTGTACCACCTCTACACAAGTCTATGTTATTGATACCTTGGCTAGTGAGGACCGTTGGGGAATTACCGGAGGATGCCACGGATGCTCAGATAGAGAGGTATGCTCGCATCTACCTTATTTGTTTGGTTGGAGGATTTTTGTTTCCGAACAAGTCTGGTGGAAATATGCATTGTATGTGGCTTCGAGTTCTTTTGGAAGATTGGGACAAGATTGGGAGAAAAAGTTGGGGATCTGCTTGTTTGGCGATGATATATTCGGAGTTGTGCAAGTGTACGGATCCGAAAACAAAGCAAGCGGGTGGTCCCATGTTCATCCTCCAACTATGGGTTTTTGAGCACCTTCCTACTTTCGCTCCGATCTGCCATGCCAACAGTTGGGGTCCCGATGAGCCACTACGACAATGGGCTTATGGTGCTAGATGGATTGGAGCTATCACGAGTGGTACCTCTCTAGACGGGTACCGCCAACATCTTGACCGTATAGAATTCAACGAGGTAACATTCTAGCTTATGATTATTTATTTCTAATTTATTTGTTGAAGTTATTTGTCTTAGTCTTAGCCTATGATTTATTTTTATGATTACGAATTCTATTTTATTTGTTGAAATTATTTGTCTTAGCCCATTATTTATTTTTATGATTATGAATCCTATTTTATTTGTTGAAATTATTTGTCTTAGCCCATTATTTATTTTTATGATTATGAATCCTATTTTATTTGTTGAAATTATTTGCTTCGATTTTAATTTATATGTTGTGTTGAAACTTAGGTGGAGTGGGATCCGTATCCGAACGGAGCAAAGGATTTGTACGAGTTGCGATACCCCGAGTGCATCATGCAGAACTCTAAAATCTCCTGAACCGGAAAACCCTCCCGATCCTTCACCTTGTTCGGTATAACCACCCCCACCATATTGGCCAACAACTTCTGTCTCGACATATACCTCAGCAGTTGGAAATATGTTCTCTGCAATAAATCTCACCATCATATTAACATCATCATCGTCAGACAAAACTGATCCTTCATATACAAGTGCATAATCCTTGTAAACCGGCATACGGTAAGTCATCTTGCATACTCTTCTCCCTCCTATGCAACATCGTTCCGCACAAATATGGCTGAGTTCTTGCCAAGTAAATATGCTCTCAATCGGGACAGTACTTGATTCACCATCTTCGTAGTCAATACTATCATGAAAATGTGTAATTCGACCATTCCACCGAATCAATAAGTCGAATTTTCGAAATTTTCTACCCATTTCTGCAGTTTATAGAAGCAGCTCATTACATACAGTACAAACAATTCTAAATTAATCCAAAATTCTAATATGCTCATTCAAACAACGTAAGCAGAACTTACCTCCAAAAATTTTCTTCTTTGCTGAGCTATGGTGCTCCAGCTGCTGCAGTTTGTGTTTGGAAGAAAGAAGATAGCAAGTAAAAGAGCTACCACAATGTGCTAAGTGATGGCTTTTTATCCTCGTAAACTGATGCAGTGGTTCGAGTCCAAAAAACTCGAACTACCCTAGTTCGAGTTCATTAAACTCGATCTACGGCAACCAATAATTTTACCCCCCTGCACCCTATTCTGGAGCATGTCAGACCGAAAGCGACAGGACAGAATGATTGAGCAGCGGTTCGAGTTTAGAATACTCGAACTACACTAGTTCGAGTCTCTAGAACTCGATCTACACCAACAAAGAATCTTATCCCTGCAACCCTATCCTGACACTTCGGTTGACTAGTGGTTCGAGGCCATATGAATCGATCTGTATGGTTCGAGTTTTAAGGCGTCGGTCTAATGCAGATATGGATCGAGGATTCTAAAATCGTTTCACTAGATCGAGTTTGTTGGCATCGATCATGTTAAATCGAGTTTTCCAAACTCGAACTAGGTTGATCGAGTTTTCCTAACTCGATCTACTGTGATCGAGTTGTCCAAACACGATCTACTTTTGATCGAGGTTTATGAACGCGATGTGGTTGTAGTTCGAGTTTTTAATCGTCGAACTGTGTTGTTGTTCGAGTTTATGGAACTCGAACCCCTTGAAACTTGGGTATTTTGAAAAAATTTTATAAAAGTTATGTATTATGGGAATTATGTTTAATTTTGGCTGTATTCTGGGAATTCTTCCATGAAGTGTTCCAAGAAAACAAAAAGAAAGCAACTTTATGTAGTTTAATAACAGAACTTTTGTGGGGTAACTGGGAGAATAAGAATTTGAAGAGTTTCATCATCATGTACACAGCTCACTGTAAATGTGTAATGTCAGCATCTGCTTCTGTAGACAATCTCGTCATCATCATGCACGTCAAAAGCTGGATTACACAGACATCTGAACATCCTGCCAATTCCCTGTACATTACAAAAATGTAGCATAATTGAGCAATGGTAATGTTTTCAGCATTGGCAGGCCTATCTGAAGCCTAATTTGCCACTGATTTATGAAGGAAGAGACATGCCTGAGTGAGAAGAGGAGTTTTGTATGATAGTGATCTGGGGCCCTCGTCTTCGTCACTGCTGCTATCAGAACTGCTTTCTTCATCATCTCCAGTTTCATTACTGCTTTTCCCCCTCGAGACTCCAACTCTCGCTTGTTTTCCATCCTGTGAGATATAATATATATCTTTGTTGTCTTATAACCGAGTCCAGGGGACAAACAACTGAGGGAAAAGGTAGGATCTTTATGTTTGTGTCACACCTGAAAAACCTTGCCAAGGGTTCTTAGAGCCGAGGCTCGAGTTTTGAGTTCTTCTCTACTCACATTGTTCTCCTTCAAAACCATCTGGCAGACATGGATGAGGGTGACCTCAATGTCTACTACGTTCAGTTTCCACATGGAGCTCATCAGAATTTCTCTGGCCAATCTCGGATGTGATACCACACCATTTTCTACTGCAGTCCCATTGTATTTGTTCTGTTTGCGGAGGTCGTCTTGAAGTTGGATTAGCTGAAATGCACCTGCAGGGGTTAACTGTTAGTTTTTATCAATTTGGACTACGAAAAAAGGAAATCCCTTCAAGCGAAGCTCCATTACGAGGGAGTTTCAACCTTTTGCTGCTGTGACCTGTGACTTCCAGAAATGGCCTTTGTTCCTTGCCCATTCTGCCATGAATGGGACTCCAAGGTAGAGGGCTTTCTTCCCGAGCTCTTGTGCTGCTTGCCTTGAGTATATGTACCCAATTGTATGCAAGATATTGGCACCAAAATCTGCAAATTGTTTCCAGCATATCGTCA